CATCTTGCGTTTTCTTCTACATTTTAATGACAACACTTCCTGCCTGTTGAAGAACCCTGTCTCAAATATGACCTGAATTGAGTTGACAGAGCCGTAAAATATTTGCAATGCCCAAGCATCAAGGCGTTATCTTCACAAGAGAATGCCTTTATAAAGCAGACAGGATAAATGATATACAGAAGGAGAATAAATTGTTGTTGTGAAAACGTTAACACTTTATCACAGCGCTGGCAGGCGCCAAGTTTTGCTTATTATTCAGAAACTCTATTCATTAATCTCATTCTCTTATTTCTTAAAATAATAATATTATTCTTTTTCCTTCTTCAGGTCAAAGGTACAAACTGTGGCTGGAGATCTAAAGACGCACAGAAGCTGTAACCAAAATAGAAAGACGAAAGAAGTGACTCAAATAGACTCTTCCAAGAAAAAACATATCTAAGAACTGATCTGCAAGGACTCATATAGAAGGAAGACCCCCCACTTGAGACAAAAATCAAACAACAAAACCAAACCAAAATGGAATCCCGTATTGTGTTGTGTGCTTTTCTCTTGCACATTGTCGTCATCACTGCTGGCAGTGACGTCATTACATACAGTAAGTATTGCCATAACGCTACCTTAGAATAATACAAAGTTCTGTCTTACATTTTTGGCCGTTTTGCGTTACTAACACCATGCGGTCAGAAACCAAATGTTCTTTCAGCTGCTTTATCAAAATCGTAAGATTATTTGGAGTGGTTATCAAGATATTTCAAGAATTGCATTCGAAAAAGCTTGACATGTTGTGGAACTTGAAATCTTTGACGTAAAATGTCTCAAAACTACGTACTGAGCAGACAGAACTTTGTAATTCTGCGCTAGCAATTAGTTATGACAGATTCCTCGTTCATTATCTTATATTATAAATCGTTTCTTTTGTTTTGCTTTCCTCCTTTATTTTTGGGACTTTGGATATTTTCAGTTCCTTACTCTCTGGAAATGGGAAGTTATCACTGTAGCTTTTTGTTATGACCAAGTACAGGGTATCCAACTAGTTAGGTAAATAGATGGATAGATAGATGGACAGACAGACAGAAATACCGACAGACAGACAGACAGACAGACAGACAGACAGACAGACAGACAGACAGAA